ATAGCTAATAAGGATTCAAAAATCTTTTTATCATCTTCTAGCTCAATTTTTCTAGATTCAATTTGTTCATTTCAAAGATTTAATTTTATATTGATATTACTTATACCTTCTGTTTCATTGAAATAAATTTTAGTAATATCATCATTTCAAGAATTATTTGTTGGCTCAATAGTTGGAAGATCCTCATTACCAAAGTAGATAAATGGATAATCATGTCTTCATTTTGTGGTCTTAAATTAGGGAAAAAAATTTGGATATCTAATAGTATAATTTTTAACAAGATGCTTGCATAGAGTATAATTGCTTTCAAGGAATGTGGGACATGAACAAATCCATTTACTAATATCTATTAAATATTCTTCTTCAATGCTAACTTCTTTTTTTAAAGCAAGTTTCCAATCACCTTTAAATGTTTCCCACCATGATGAAAATATGTGGCTATACTTAAACTTGTTCTGGTCATATATTTGATTTGGAATTAATTTTTTTGTTATGACCTGTGTTAAATAATTTAAACAAAGTCAATTGGAAGTATATATATAGTTGTGTTTAAGAATATGCTAATGTGATTCAATTAGCATAGTTGTTTTTGCTAAGGGTAATGTTTTAGAATAAAAAGATCAAGCAAAAAGATTCTAGTAATTTTTTTATACCAATTACACTATAGATATCTCTACAAGTGAACAAGATTTTTTTTACAATATTTGTATATTTCTTGAACACTGTGGTAATAAATTTCAATGGAGGTAAGAAATAATCCATTATTTACTGGAATAAGAGGATGCAGCTGTATATGCGTTTTAACTATTCTTAAAACTTCTTTTATGTTTTTTTCAAAACATATAGCCTTTTCTTGATTATAAGGTATTCAAAATTTATTAATAAATTAAATTGTACTATGGCATCATTTGCTATTCATAATGTATATTGACTGGCCTTATATTTTTTCTTTTAACTTTTTTCAATAGCATGCTCTGCATGCTATAAACAGAGCTGAATTTTTACTATTTGAGACCATGCAATTTCTATAGCCACTATTTTACCAGCATCTTTATTAGTAAGAATGAATTTTAGTTGAATACACTCAGTTTTAAGTAAAAAAATTCTTTTAAGATTAATACTCAGGAGTAAATTTGGTTTTTTGGATCTTGTAAACATTCTATTGGTGTTGCAAAAGTATGAATGTATAGGTATGCAAGTGGAACTCCTAATCTACCAGAATTATTTAAAATAGCAAATAATTCAAATTTTCTTTATTAGTTTTAAATATTGAGTCTATAATAATTTTAAAAATCTTATTTTTTGGTGCGTAATAGAGAAAAGATGTAGTAAATCCAAGAGATTTGATGAAGTCATTTTCAAGATATAACAAAACTTTATATCCTTGATCAACTAATTTGTTTTGATTCAAAAAAGTACAGGCTGAATAAGTTGATTATTAATATCTGTAATATATTGTTGTGATGAAAACTTCATAATTCAATAGTATATTTGTTGATAAGTATATATATCTGGATTAATAAGCTTTTCTTTACAGAGTCTTTAATAAAATTCTACTTTTCAAAGATTTCTGTTTATATTTCGAGATATCCAGACAATGGTGTTTTAAGGCAAATTATTTTCACAGTAGGTAGGATATTCATAAGCTAATAAATGTTTAATGTTTATATATGCTTGATATTTATTAATATCAAAATTTATTTTAATATTTCCACCACAATGATACCGATTTTTAGAGGTATTGTTTTACTTATTCTTTTTACAGTTGGTTTTCCAAGCACACATGTTTTTGATCTTCTTTTTGAGTACAACCAAGATATATTGTTGCTTCTCTAGTTAGTTGATTATTTTTTTATAAAAATAAATCTTTCATATTTCTCAATAATAACGAGATCCAGATTCAATAAATAAAAGATGTGATACTGCTATATTATGGTATATACATTCTTCATCACTTTCTTAACTTTCATTCGACATACTACTAATAAACTTTTTGTCAAACTTTAAAGTCCCTGAAAAATGCATACAACCATCTTCAGTATTTTCAAAACTATTGGCTATTAGATTCTCTATATCTATTAGGCTAAACCAAACCCCATCCTCATCATTATAATTTATCATTTCAGTGTCTTCCTCATCAGGTAGATTCAAACTTTCTGTATTTGTCAATTCACTAATAGTTGCAGGTCTTTTTCTAGTCTATTTTCTGTACAAGAATTATACGTAGCAAATTTTTTTAATTTACTTCCCCTTAACCGAGTAAATTCATTATAATTTTTATATTTGTTACAATGGCCGCATTACTTTACAATAACTGAAGATGCTATTATCTTATTTATGTTGATAGAAAAAGATATATTAAAGTAGCTCTTTATGATTTATACTAATTATAATTAATTTAAATTATTGAAAATAAGAGGAGAGAGAATAAGATAGATTGAATAGTGATGAATAATAAGTTTGGTTAGTACAGTATTAATAGTGAGAGATTATAGTAAGTTAGTTAGGCTGAATAGTGATAGCAATTGTGTATATTAATATAGTAATTATTAGTGATAACAATAGCAAAATGGTATAGCAATAGTGAAAATGAGTTGTATGTAGCAATAGTGAAATTGGTAATGTAATTAACATCAAAAATAATATACAATTCTTTTTTTTTATTTTTTTATATTAAATAAAAGCCTCGCTAATATAATCTATTATGTATTTAAAGATTTATTATTGAATTTAATTTCATATTTATTTGATAATATTACAACAACTACTATATATTTTAATTTTGAAAATATTGAGCAATTTAATTTCAAAAATATTAAGCAATTAATTTCGAGACTATTGATAAATTGCATAAAAGGATTCTAGCGCTAGATCAAAAATTTAATAAATCAGTTATATTAATCTGTCTTAAATATTTTTCTGAGCTTAAGTTTTGGTTTGATTAGCCCAATAATCATGGGACTGACAAATTTTTGTACTATTACTATGTCATCCTTCGTAATTGTTGAGACCGTCTCTTTACAATACATTTCAACATTTTTCAATATATTGCTTGAATTAACATTTTGGCTTCATTATTCAGAATCTTGGATTTATAGGCTTTAATTCCCAGTTATCACAATTCATTACATAACTATCCAATTTTCCAAGTGTATAAGTGTTGTGTGGATATACATTCCATCTAATATTTCTGATATTCAAAGTTCTATATATAAAGTTCTATATATATTTGAAGCTCTATAGGTGCCACATTCCTCACACCTACTTGTTATAGTCATCCCAAATTTACTACATCTATTTTCTTTTTCAACCAATTAATTATTCCTTTGCTTTAAGTATTTTATCATCATTTCAAAAAAATTTTCAAGTATATATATGACAGCACATGATTCTGTTTCTAGTCAATTGCTCACAAATTAAAAATCTCTAATTGTATCTCAGTAGTTAAATTATTATAATTTTCTTTTGCATTGTTAATCATTGTTTGAACTAATGTAAATAATATTTCTGTACTAATAAATTTTTTTTCATTTTATCCAATTGTTCTTTTAACATTCTTCTTCAAATTTCTTCTCTGGAATCAAATATGAATCTAGCCTAGGCTGAGAAAGTCAATCCATATTGGTTGATCACATTGGTAAACTAGGTCTATATATGTATTGATAAAATTTCTTTC